TTCTGGTTGCGAACTTGGCAGTGTATAAAGGGTTGCCCATCCAACCCTGATCTTCCGCTCTTCTCTCTCACTTCCAGCTTTATTCTGTATTGAAAGTGGCCTATCACTTACCTGCACGGACACTCCGGCCTGCATGGCCAAGCTCTGTATGCCTCCCCTCTCCTAGGGTTTGGCAAATGGGTGGGTGGCACAGTCATCCCACAGGATGGCCCTGAAAGTGGTTTGCGGCTGTCTGGGCAGAGAATCCTCGAGATGATCTAGAAGAGGACGGAAAACTCTGGACAGGCGTGGCTCACGGCTTCTTTGCCTGTGGGGAGGGCCAGAGCAGTGTAGGACCATCTCTGCCCCGAAGGACAGTCTGTGGTAGTGACTGAGAGTGCAGAGGCAAACCCACAGAGGTCTGAATCCTGGTTCCATGACTTAATGTCAGCTAAGACATCTTGAAGAAGTTATCCAATGTCTCTTTAATTCATTTATTTACCTATAAAATGGGAATAATTAGAGTCTATACCTAAGAGGTTGTGGGTATTAAAGGATGTATTTTCATATTATATGTCCAGAGGGTGTCTGGCATATATCAAATACTTCACAAATATTAGCTATTGTTATTCTTTTAACTCCAGAATCCAGAAAAGTGCCTGCATGAGGCTATAGGTGCTTTAAGAAACTCTGAATGAATAATAATTAAATGGTTAAGAATAGTTTGTCTTTCTATTACCTTTCTTAGTGTTTGGTTAGAAGTGAAGTGACTACAAATTCCAGTTTGCATAGCCTAAAGAGAAGTAAGTTTTAAAATAAATATTGAGGTAAAAGATCAGGATCACTTTTTATAGTTAATTATCAATTAAAATAATTATCACAGAAATTTTGAAAGCAAACAACTTTGTAAAAAGTAGATTAAAAACTAGAAAGTCTCTATTTTGATATTTGCTAATGATTGACCTAGAAGGTCAAGAGCCTGCTTTCTCAGGCGGACTGAGAAGGCTAAAACAAGTGTCTTATTAGTGTTAAACCTTGTATAGTAGAACTACCTTTTAAAGAAAAATATATTTGTTAAAGTGCCCATTCTAACGAGGATTAGAAAAACAGGATGTTGCCAAAGTGTGACCCCAAACTACTGCAAGACTGATATCACTTACTCACATGAGGAAGGGTATAAAAGAAGCAAGCTTGAGGGAGAAAATTGGAAGTTTGTTTTTGAGTACATTAGGGTAATTTTGCCTTTAGAAATACAGTGGTAATGGTGAATAGGCAGTTTGCTGTACCCTCTGGAGATCAGACCGGAGTTGTCATCATAGAAATGGTACTCAAGACCCAAAACTGGATCAGTCCACCTAAGAACTTAGTATATGGCCAGAAGACAAAGTCCAAGGACTGCGTCCTGAGCCACTCGTACTTTTGGAGGTTGGGACATAAAGAACTGACATCAGAGATGGAGAAGGAGCTTGAACCAAGGGAATGTGGGTCCAGGAACCAATGAAAGAAGTGTTTTGAAGGAAGGAGTGGTCAACAGTATCAAATGGCTGACATATAATAGGTAAAGCAGAATTAAGACTGAATGGGCCATGGGATTTTGCAATAGGGAGGCCATTGTGATTTTAACAGAGTAATATACTTGCAGAGGTAATAAAAAAAGTCCAACTGCAATGGATTAAAAAAAGCAGATAAGGAGAACTAGAGACAGCTAGTATGGACAACTCAAGAATTTTGGCTACAAATAAGAGTGAGAAATAGAAGAGGAATCACAGCATGTATGGCTATGCATATGCTGTAAGTGATCCAGTAGAAAAGAGAAAAACTATGATTGAAGAGACAGGGGTAACAACCCTTCCAACTAACTCAAACAAGGTATACTTGCTGGATTCCATTGGCATAAAGTAGTATTTGTCTGGGGAAGTGGATTTATCCATGTTATGTTTTCCTTCTTCATATACATGCATACCAAAAAGTTGTTACATACGCATATTTTTAAGAAAAATATTTTTAATGGAGCCATAATAGAACCATTGGAAAGTAAATGGTTGAAACTATCTTTGTTTGCCTCCCTCACTTCTGCATTCTTCCCATCAAAGATAATGAACATTCTTGTGGCCCTAAATTTCAGCTAAAAAAATTTATGTTCTGGGATTAATAAGTGTGTTACTCCTCCTGCAGTATTTTGATTTACTGAAATATTTAGGAAAAATGATATGAGAGATTTGCTTCAAAATAAGTCAGCTGGGGAACAGAGATGAACTGTGTGGGGAGAGAGATGAAAAAAGTTGGCCCCGAGTTGATATTCATGAAGCTGAGTGGTGGGTATATGGCAATTCCTTACACTGTTCTCTCGGCTTCTGCATGTGTTCCAAAATTTCCATAATATTAACTTAAAAATTAGAAGAAACATAGTGTTGCTACCATGCTTAATTCAAAGATACCCATTTCAGATAATTTGGTAATAGGTGAATATTTGAGGCACAGGAATTTTTCTGGCGTTTTCCAATCTTATCAGTTACTTTGCTTTTATATACACCACAAACTTGTTTTTTCATCAGAAAGTGTCTCAGTTGCTTGGAGATAGACTTAATTTGGGCTTATTGTGCAAATAATTTGGAAGATTGAATTTTCAAAATAAAGGCATGGTTCTCTTAAATATCCTCTCACTTTAGGTAAGCATAAAAAAACCCCAAGAACACTTACATTGTGAAATACATTCTGAGGTAAAGTAATACTACAATTAAAAAGCAATGGCAATCCAGCTGGTTGTTATTTAAAAGAATTAATAGTGTATTATACACAGGAGGTGAAATTACATTGTAATAATAGTTAATACTTTTTAAACTTTTCTGAAATGTGTTAATCTTATATGGTTGTATAAAATTTAAACAAGATTTTTAACTTTTCAAAACTAGCAAATGTAGAAATAAGAGTGTTGCCATGTTAAGTCTTCAAATATTAACTGCTAGGTATTCTTTAGTGTTTTCCAGTTACTCATTAACCATTCTTTAGTGTTATTGTTACCATAATTGTTGGTAATTTCCACCAGGAGAATTTGAATAATGAACTCCAACAAACTGTCTAGATCAGAAGAATGTTCAGGTTTTATTAGTAATATCCCCCTTGCTCATGATATATTCATTAATAAAAGTCTGCTATGGATTTGGGACCTATAAATTCTACTTCAAAAATTAAACCCAAAGTTACATTGCTATGCAGTTTCTGGTTTCTTTTGTGTGGCTTTAATGCCCTCAACATTTCCTTGGTGTAAACTACTGAGCAAGGGAACAAGATTTCCTTTGTAACTGATACCTAAATTTCTATTCTGCTTTAAGCGTCTAATTTGCACTGTGAAGACATATAATTTGAGACTTGTAGCTATATCACGAAAGTACAACAGTTTATGCTGATCTCTAATTTTCTGAGTTGTGCTGGCTGTAATTTAAATTTTTTGCATGTTTTTAACTGCCCTGCAAACCAGTATACATGAGAAACCTTTGTATATTGACAGAGACTGGGAAAAGGATGCCTTGTTCTGATTTCGGATAAGCATTCCCTTTTCACAACTGCAGGTGCAAGGGAGCCCATTCATAATATTTGCTTCAAATCAGTTATAGTTACTGGCTGGAAATACAGTGCTATCACTTGAGAACTTGGCTAATTGTGCTTGTGTTTGCAAGCACAATGAATATTCAAAAATTATTACTATTATTAGCAAGTTCTGGAGGCGAGTAGTACTCTTTCCATGTCTATGTATTGGGGACATAATACATGCTTTGACATGGTTTTGGTCCTTTTACTACTATGTGTATATGTGTTTACTAAATCTAGAAAAATTCTTTGTCACTTATTAACATGGGATGGAATTATGCTCAGTGGAAAATCTGCTGTAACAAATGTGTGTTCCACTTAAGAGATAATTGATAATGAATGTTACTCTTTCCTTTGCCTTAAGTTTCACTTATTTTTAAATCAACAAATAAGCCAAAAAAACCCACGAGATAAAAATTTACTCTTATTGCTCTCATTTCACATAAATGGGTAAATCTCATTTTGAAACAAATATTAGACAACTGTATATGCAAAAAATAAGTGAGGCTAGCTGGATGTTTCCATTGTAAACTCACATATAAGGTTATCACTTGACCATTTTAATTAGCTTCAGGCAGAAACCTGTCACACCAATTCAAAGCACTGTAGAAAATTTTAGTCTACAAAAACAATTATAACTCTCCTTCACCAGAAGAGGTAAGAGAAAGACTCTAATAGAACTTCAGGGCTGGATGTCCAAACACATATAAAGTCAGTTAAAAAAATAAGCAGGCAATAATCATTGCATTGGACAAATACCTGTTTGGCGTATGTATAAAACAATAAGAACTCATCCCAAATTGATGGTTAGTACTTACTGTATGTTTTTACTGTTTGCTAGTAACCCAGTGGTGTCACCTGACATTTGCATATAATTGAAAAGTGCCAAAACGCTACTGCAACTTTAATTCATTTAGGCTGATCACTGTAATACAAGAAACTTATATGCCGCCATCCTTTCCTTCCATGGCCTCGAGAGCAGAAGGCTCTCTCCCATTACACCAATTTATCCTAAGCCTTGAATCAAATGCAAGCTAGTGGTTAGCCCCATGTACTAGAAAGATGGGGAGGGAGGGCATCTTTGAGGATGCCTTCAAAGATGGGGCAGAACCCCTAAACTTGCTTCTGTAAATACGATCGCCCACTCTTCGAACGTCCATTCTATTATGGCTTCCCCAGCATCCACGAGCCACACACAGTATCACCACTTATAATTATCGCTGTCACTCCGGGGCGGAAATGCTTGACACCTGGCCTCCCTTAGATCACATGTGATGGAGGACGCTAGCACACACCGCCCCCTTCTGAAATTCTAAGGGTAGATACAGGGAGGGTGACCGGGCCACTTACCTGGCAGGGATGTCTTCGTGACAGCCCTAGACCTTTGAGTCAGAGAAGAAAACAAAAGAAAAGAACAAAAACAAAAAACTTACCACTTTGGCCCAGTCCAAGAACAACTGAAAGCACCCAGGCCGCCCGGAGAAATGGGGCAGGACCTGGCCGGCAGTTTTGCAGGCAGACAAATGCGGCAGTAAAAAAAGCCAGGGCCGAGCAGCACATAATGCAGAGCAGCCCGCAACGCGCCCGCCTGGCTGCTATCCGGATGCGCGCTCGCGCCTCCCAGGCGCACCTCGGCGCGGGCGGACCAAGAGTTGCTAGGACGTTTTCAGCAGGCCCGGCAGGCGGACCCTGCGGCTCGGAACAAGCGGTGCAGGTACGCTGGCCCGGGTACCGCTAGGCATCTCAGGGCCCCCGCGGCCCTCCCAGCTCGGCACGGCGGGTCTCGAAATCTCAGCAAGAAGCACCTCCTCCGACGGTCAATGGCCCGGGGTGGCGACGCGAGCAGGGCTCTCTGCAGCCCGCTCTGGGACAAAGAAAAGAGCTTTTGTTTCTCTCCAGCCGACGGGAATTCTGCTGCATAAATCAGCTTAGCGAAGAGCCAAACACAATCAAATCCAAACAAAGCCCGAAGCTGGGGGGGAAAAACCAGCCTAATGTACATTCACCGAGTGATGCTGCATTTGTGGGAGGGGGCGCCGGTGAGGCCGAAGGGAAAAAAGTCGATGGCGCATCAATCAGCGCCAGTTTCTTCCACAGGTGGGCAGGGAGGCCAACTCCACTTAGTTGCAGCTTTGCAGCCTCGTTAGCTGAACAGCGGGGAGTGGAAGCAGCAGCGTCCTGGCTGGCGAGGGAGAAAGCTCCGGGTGCCAGCAGCCGGGGAAGGCTGCTCCGGGAGCGCCCTAGAAGCCCCCGCCGGCGCGGGCGGACACAGAGCTAGGCATCGCAGCTTGGCCAGGAGTAGAGCGCACCGCCGCGAGCGAAGGAGGTTCCGCGGGGGTGCTGAAGCCCGGCTTCGCGGGGCGGGAGCTTCGTGCCCTGGTTCTTTTGGCCCCAGAGTGCAGTTCAGGCGTTCGGTGGTTCAGAGCCCGGGCTGCTAGCGCGCTCTGGGGCGAACCCCGGGAGGATGCGAAGTAGGCGAGTTGGTGGGGGGTGGGGAGGTGTGGTCCTGCCCCGGCCCCCGGGTGAGGGGTTGGGGCGGGGGGACTCCCGATGTGCGGATCGTTAGGGGCACTCGGGGCCGTGAGTTGCTAGGAAACCGCCCCACGCTACGGAGCGCCTCGCCTCGGCAGTCGCGGCAACAGCAAAAGCTCGGAGCAGCGTGGGCGGGACATTGATGAGGCATGAAGTCACTGCGGCCCACACTCGCTCTTTGTTTTGCTCACTCCAGCTCTTTTTCTCCCCCTTGGCTCCGATGGTTGCCATTCCCGTAGTTCTCAAGAACTCCTGATGCGTACCCGCGCAACAGGAATCGCAAGACCTGTGCCTTTTCCCTGCTCCCCGAATTCCCGAACCTCAACGCTCGCCTAGCGGGTGTAGAGACTCACTCAGCACGAGTGGCAGCTGCACGCAAACCCCAGCCTCTCACCGGGCTCGGCGCAGTCCTTTGTTTGGAGATACTCACGGCTCGGCAGCTGCCGTATGCAAAGTGGAGTCCCGGAGCCTCTCCCCACCTCCAACAACACCCTCCGTTCCGCGGGTGCGCACTGCCCACTTTGCTTGCAGAGTTAGGCGCTTACCCTTTGCCCCACCCCAAGACTGTCCGGCGTCTCGCTCACACTTGGAGAGTTGGGCCAGTCCACAGGGGCTGTACTCAGAACTGCTGGCTGAAATTTTCTCGGCTCCTCCACTCAGAGGGGAGCATCGACCTTGGGCTGGACAGCCCTGCTCTTTGCAGGGTCTGGTGGTGACCCTGGGCTCTTCGCTAGTTAGTGTGTCTTTTGACCTTAAGCGTCACCTTCCCGATAAACGGAACAAAGAAGTTACAAAGGGCGGCGAAACAGGAGAGAGAGGCTAGGAAAGGAGATGAGAGCATTTCTGCCTGCTTGCAAATCAGAAATTTAGGCGCAAGCAGGGAGCGAGTGTTTTGCTGGGCAACTGTCAGGGAAGCCGCGCGCCTCCTTGGGTCCTGTCATTACTAAGCTAAACCAAGGAAGAAAACCCAGCTCCCCGGATTGAAAGCAGGGCAGTGTTTTCAATCGAAACACAGGGTGATGCTTCTCTTTTTCCTCCAGGGGCAGGAGCGGTTCGCCCTGGCGTAATCCGGCCTCTCTTTTTCCACTAGCAGCCTCCTCTTACAGGCATCAGATCAATCCAGCCAGGTCAAGGTGAAATATGCGGGAGTTTCCCTACTTACTTGCTTGATAGTTTCCATCTCCGTATTTGGAGTAAAAAAAACAAGTAGGAGGCTTTCTCTCTCTCTCTCTCTTTTTTTCTTTCTGTTTTCTAATTGTTAACTAAGTGAATGGAAAGTACCTGATTAATAAACCACAACATTGAAAACTCCCCCTTTTCAGGTGTGGACTGCACATTGAAGGCCACAGAATTAGCTAAGCAAACCAGGAACCCACTTGGAAAATTACAAGTGCCCTGGATCTACAAAGCAGGTTATTTTTGTTTGGTGTTTTTTTTTTTTTCTTTTCTGTCTCCTTTTTTTTTTTTTTTTTTTTGAGACCAACTGAATGATCTAAACCTGAAAAACCAGTACTTATAAACACAATTCCACTAGAGGCAATGTACTATAGATAGGTAGAATAAAATCCTGCTCAGCTTCATTACTTATTTTCTTTCCTTAGTTCCAAGTTTGAATAACTGTAGTTTTGCTTTTCGTGGTCTTAAAGGAAAGGCCTGAAAAGTGGCTGGATGGGAATGGGGACTTGAAATTTGAACACAAAATGAACATATTCAAACTCTAATTAGAACTCTTCAGTGGTGTAGCATGCGTATGAGTATTTTGCAGAGATTATTTCACAGTCCAAAGGAATGCAGCCACCCTCGAGACAGTGCAGTGCCATACTAAAGAAAAAAAAGTCAATCCATAATACCTACAAGGGTCTGTGTGTAAATGCACTCTATAATGCACTCTTTCTTCCTGTAAAGAAAGACTTCCCCATTTTGTTTTGTGAGGCCGAGGCAAATATATTTCAGGATGTCACTTTTATGGAGTTGTTGAAGAATAAACACAGTGCTATTTATCACCACTTCTCAGTTACAAAGAGGTTATAATTCTGATTATGAAAATAAAATAAAACAGAATATCCCAGCTGTGAGTTTGTGATCCTTACAAGTTGTTTACAAACAAGCTGTCTGTACATTTTGGCCTATAAAGATAAAAGTCAATTCTCCTGAACCCTGCAAATCATCTGTAGAGTTTTCTTACAGTAAATATAATCAGTACCCTAGGAACAAAAAGTTTCCTTATTTCCAATAAATGTCATTGGTCACCACAACTCATTTGTTTTCCTGTAAGAAAATTTACAACATATTGTGGAGAAATGTGGCATGATCTTCCTCATATTACCTGAAGAATTCTTTTTATTTTACCTGAAGAATTCTAACAGAAAAAAAAAATGTTCCAGATTAATTCCTGTCTTTATCAAGTTCTACTGTTTTACTCTGAAATTTCTGACAGCTAATTTTTCATCATTTGTGGTAATGAGAGCAAGTGAAATTCACAGATAGTGTGAAAGTAACATTTCAGCTGTTCATTCCAGCCTTCCTATCATCAGCTTCTTTTAGTTGGTAAAAAGTCATAAAATTAGATGAGTTAAGTTTTTTCCTGCTTCTCACTTTGTTTTCTCACTAACTGAGTTTATGGGCAGAAACAAGTAAGCTATTGATGGAGCACAGGAATGCTCCTTTTAGTGTGTATTCAGCTTTTTCATGAGATTTTGTCCAAATTATTGACCCCATAGTTAACAGCTAAAACCATATTTACATTTTATATAACAGATGATCCTCAAATTATGATAGGGTTATGTCTTCATAAAACCATTGGAAGTTGAAAATACCACATCAAAAATACATTTCATACACCTGACCTGCTGAACATCATAGCTTAGCCTAGCATATTTTAAGCATGCTCAGAACACTTACATTAGCATACAGTTGGGCAAAATCGCCTAACACAATGCACTGTAGAACACTGGTGGCTTGCACTTACGATTGCATGGCTGATTCCAGGCTATGGCTGGCTACTGCTGCCCAGCACCATGAAAGCGTATCATACTGCATATTACTAGCCAAGGAAAAGAGCAAAGTAAAAAATTCAAAGTATGGTTTATACTGAATTCACATTGCTCTCACACCACTGTAAAGTTAAAAAAATCATAAGCACACCATCCCAAGTTGGGACTGTGTGCATCAGAAGTTGATATCAGAGGTAGTACCTAGTAGGTTACTTAATAGGCTTTAAGCAAATATTCACAAGTTGTCTATAAGCTTGCTTCATCAACGGCTCTTAAGAGATGATCCAGCCCAGCCAGTGGGATATATTACTTTGACTATGACTTCAAGCTTCTTCCAATGATAAAGAACACAAGCAAGTCACTGAAATTTACTTCTCATTGAAATATTACATAAGTTAGTGTTCCTCATACTGTGGCCCAATACTGTCCTTAATATAATCACCTGCAGAGTGATTCCTTAGGTCTATTCCAGGAGACTCTGAGTTCATAGATCTGGTGTGATGCACAGCAATACGCATTATTACAAGTTTCTCAGATGGTCCTTTATGTGCTGAGACTTAATAACCCCTTCCATAATGGATTAATACAGAGATTCCTTAAAGGCCTCATGTGTGATAATATTAACATATTTCACTATCAGGTACAAAGTCAAAGAAAAATGAAATACTTGAGTCAGTGTCTCTCCCAAGTTATCCTAGGGTGATTAATACTATGAGACATTATTGCTTTAAGCCACAAGACTTCCATAGTTAAGTTTGGGAAATCCTGGGTTAAAGTAAAGTTAAATTCTTTACTGGAGGATTTTTCCAGAAACTTAAGTAGGCCAAAACACAACTGGATTCTCCAAAGGAAGAACCCTTTATTCGGGGAACATGTCAGGGGCTAATTTTCCATAAAGCACACTGCTGAGACTTAATCCTACTTTACAGATGTGGAAACTGAGAACCAGGCTGGCGAGGAGACTGACCTCACTTCAAGAGAATTACTGAGCAGGCAAGAATCGAAGCTCTGATTCTTCTCTACCACCTCATATTCATGGTGACTTTTGGTTTCAAGTAACAGTCAGATTGTGGCTGCCATGTAAACAACAACAACAAAAAGAAATTATTGGAAGGAAATTGGGAGCTTACAGAATCAGCAGGAGGCTGAGAGACCAGGATTGAATGGCACAAAAATCAAGAGAGGAGGTGTAAGCAGTAAGTGGCCAGTTAACAAGAATGCTTTGTAATTATCCCTTCATTTTTAGACCACTTGTTTAAGATTCAGAATCTTGGATGGGAATGTCTAATTTTCAGAACTTTCATCACGTATATCCGGCTTTCTGAAGGTGGGGGGTTGGGGGGGAGGGGCTCTTGCTTTTGGCTTTCTCAGTGGAAAATCTAATACTGTTTCCCAACAAGATGACATAAAATTGTTTTAGGTTGATGAAGGGAACTCTGAAAAGTGACAGAAGTTCATTACTCACATATCCCAATTTC